AAGACCAACAAAGACAACAGCAAAGAGGTAAACTCCGCTTAAACTCCGCTTGTGAATGAGACTATCATGAAGTCCATAAATGTACCAGGTTCCCATAAGCACAATTTAGATAATTAAGAGGTAGGCTGCTTTGACCGTTTAGTTTTAGCAGAGGTTTTACGACGCTCGCAACTGCACAAGGTCATATGAGCGCCAAGGGGTGGATATCAACAGAGAAGTCCTTACAGGGAATCAGGCTTATTCTGCTCACCTCTCTAGCTTCAACAGCACAAAGTTTGCTTCGAATATCAAGGCACCCCGGAAATAGTGCGTCACAAGAGTGTGATAAACATACAAAAGAAGTAGAGGAAAATGACAACAGTAAGGATTAGGAAAGAAAAAGCAGCAGCTCTCAGTCGTAGATCAGGCACAGTTATGAGCATGACATTGATGAATCAGCCCATTTACGATTCTACAGTGCTTGAACGAGAAATGTCCCCCCTTTGGGAATGGCCTCAAGACACTACAGTCAGTGGCACCGCCCTGGGGGGGTGCTCTGACCTTGCCTGTCACATTCACAGCCAACCCTAGCCGAGTACACAACAGCCAAGAGTATACAGATGAAGATACTCCATAAAACTAACAACCCAAAAAGGAACTGAACTCACATTTTTTTATTGCACTGGTGTAGAGCCTGATCATTACATTATTACACTAAAGATGCTGAAGCCAACTCCAGAACAGTTAATTTTTTTTTCCAGTAGACAGAAACAACATTTTAAAACATCTAACTCTGTTCCTTTTACATATTAGAATCCAACAGTTTTAACTGTATTTCTTTTGTTTCTCATTCAAAACTAAATGTAGACACAACAAAGAACAGTACACTCCTTGACTAGGTAGGCCTACATGTTTCAGAACATCTTTTCTTTGAATTACAAACATTACTTTATTAAAACATGTTCAGTTAACCTTTCACTAGCAGTTGAGATCTCAAGACTCTAAACTCACATGTTAAAAGTCATCTGCCTAGTGGTATTTAAAGAGCACCTCAGAGGGAAAGGAAATATATTTAGGTCTTTGATATTGAGAAGAATCACACAATTGGCAGAAAAAGAACAATTTGAATTTATTTAAAACATTGTAGTCTATCTCATTTCGGGGCAAAAACGACAAACTCAAAATTCATTAACAGTAAACAATGATGGCTCTATGACAGCATACAAGAACAAATGTATCTAAAACTTTTAACATTAACTTTAACACACAGTTTTAAACTTTCGCCTTTTGAGCAAAGAAAAAATATTAATAAAAGAGAACCGAATTCGGTCAAGTCAACCCATAATTTTTAGAGGAAACTCGTCTACCAGCTTCTCGTCTTTAGCACGTTGTTCGAAGGAAGACACCAAAAAAGAATTCCTACAATTTCAAAAAGTGGATGGCTTGATCTTTCAAAGCAACATTAAATGTTTGTAATCTACAACCCAAACAGAATCGCAATAAATGCCCAAGAGAATGTGCATGAATGTGGAAAAAACACTGCACTTGCGAAATACAAAACCACTTTGAACAAAAAACATGGCTGCATCAGAGAAAGTCAATAATACCCCATAGCCTGCTCCAGAAAGAAAAGGCACATTAAAAGAGAACACAACAGAAATTGCTTATTTTCTTTTACTTCAAATGAGACACGCCTTGTTTACTGACATAACAGTATACATGAGACATGCCTTGTTTACTGACATAACAGTATACATGAGACATGCCTTGTTTACTGACATAACAGTATACATGAGACATGCCTTGTTTACTGACATAACAGTATACAGCATACAAGTGGGACGAAGAAGAAATTCTGCACAACAAGAAGAACAATAACGCTCCTAAAATTTGGTGTCCACAAAAAAAAAAGTCATGTTTTGCTCTACGTGCCAATCAACATGATTTAGATTATCTAAGAGGAAGAGGAAAGCTGCTTGGACTCTGTCTGACAGGCCAACCCAAACCGAAGAGGGATACAACGGCTCAGTAGACAGAGGGAGATACTCTACAAAATAAACTTCCCCACATGGGAATTGAACCCATGCCATCTGCATGCAACCGTGAAGAGCCAACCCATTCTCTAGATGCTGGTTGGTTTTTTTTGTGCCACTGCACAAATTATGTTTAGTTTTAGTAAGAGTTTTACGGCACTTGCAACACAATAAGGTCATATAAGTGCCGAAGATTAGAGGTGTTACAAGAGAGTAACAAACACAAAAAAGAAGGAGGGGAGATAAGAAGATAGCTGTTTGATAGGAAAGAAGGAGCAAACCACACCAGAGCACCCGCCAACCTGCACAAATTATATTAACTGCCCATATATGTTGCATCATCATATCAAAACAAATAGAAGGTATGCACTAATGTTCCAACCTTGCTCCAAGACGACAAGTTATGTCCTGACACTCACAGCTTCACACAAAAATGGCACATCAAAGGACTTAGAAATGACTATTACAAGACTGTCTAGAAATCTAAACTTTTCTACCTTTTATCCACATTTCAAACACAAAAATGTACACACAAATCACACCCAGACAGTCAAGTCACAGGAGTGATGTAATACTTGTAACAGGTATAGAGGTGACAACCAAGAACAACACATCATAATTATTTCACATTAAACAACCCTAGTTTTGAGCTTATCACTGCATCAGCTGCTTCTACTGCCTGGTTGCACAACTCAAGACTGCCACAGAGAAATGTTCGGGAGGGCATGGAAAGAAATTGCATCCATGAAAAAGAAAAATAAAGTATCTAAAATTTCAACAATAAATAGCAGCCTCCTATACCTATAACTTTATAACATGCCATGAGTAATTATGAAAAGTACATGTAAAACTGAGGGACTCTCTTAGGACCAACAAGTTATTTCCTATGACCAAATAAAGAATATCGAATTGCTCACCGTAAAAATTACCTTTACACCCTTCAATATGGAGAGAAAGCGAGGGGGAAAACGACTACAAAATGGACCGCAATTATTTCTGTGGTTACGGCAAGCAGTCTGCCAGGATTGTTTCAGTACCAGCAGGTTATCATCATGGATGTTTTCAGTAGCACCAAGGTTTTATCTATGATGTTCGTAGTAGTACACTATCATCGAAGACTGCTTCACTAGTAACAAAGTATCATTGATGGTGTTTTTCGCACTAGCAAGCAATTTCTAACTATCAGAAACAATCCATTCTGGTCAAAGCTACCGGGATAACAATTAACAACATGGGGTAAAAAAACAACCTTAGGTTAGATTATTTGAAGATGCAATGGCTGAGGACCGAAAATACGCCTCTATAATAAAATGACACGAGTATCTTGACAATACAGCATGCACAAAAATACAGTAAAGAAAAAAAGAAATTAGCGACAAACATCAACAATAATGATATAATATTAAAATAGTACACCTATAAATAAGCTACATAATCGACAATGGCAATGGCCTGTTGAGGTGAGGTCGCCGGCATCTATGAATACTGTCGTGTATCAAATTGAAATGACTTTTGATGTTTGACAAATTTCCTGGACAGCAACAAAACACAGGACATGGCAAAGAGCCCAAGAGACCCCCATTACATTTACAACAACATTAAGACAGGAATCAATATGCCACATATCTTTGGTCAACTTGGAAGCCATCTAGACTGACAGAACCCTAAACAGAGAGGTCGAGTATTTTTCGCAAAGTGAAGTCTTTTTACGCCCCCATCAATACAATTTGTGAGGCAGCGTGGTGGAATCAGGCTCTCTTCAAAATAATGAAGTCGAAGAAAACAGCCGTATTCTCCCTGCTAAGCAATTTTTATCAAATTTTTGGTTTTTTTGCTCAATACCTTCTATGTCCATTCACAAACACATTCATTTGAGGATTTCACTGAAAACGTTGATTAAAGGCACAAAAACATAAATTTACAGTTTTCATGGACTCTCCAGCTTTGGAATTTACCTAGCTTTGGAGACCATTTTCTCGCTAATTTTACCTCTTAAATCAGGTGACCCCCCACCTCATTCAATCCAAAATATCTTCACTTCTATTTAAGAGGGATGGGTAATTTTTTTCATTGAAAGCAAGACAAATGAACAAGCTTTAAGAAGATACCAATAACTCAATATGCCCAAAAATTGACGAGAGCCTGATTCCACCACGATGCCTCACATTTACGTGTAGAACGTTTAGGAGGCGGGCTTCGACCCTGTTTGCCAGGGCCAAACCCAGAGATACAATGACCCAGCAGAAAGTCGAGAGAATACTCGATAAAAATTCACCCAACACAGGTGTCAACTCAGCTCACCTGAGTGCAATGGCGAAGTGCTTAACCTCTACACCACGGACGTCAGTACAGAGAGAGACCATAGAAAGATTGCCTTAACCCTATCCATACGCTCTGGGGTCCTTTTGTACCCCCGCGGTTGTATTCTTCACATTTAAGAATACTTCTACTGCGAAGATCTGTTTGAAATTTTCAGTATTTTTCAAAAAATCATTTTGACAGACTGCTATGGAAAGCGTACGGATCGGATTAAGGAGTAAATTTCCTCTTTGGAAAGTGGTGGCACAGAGTTCCCCACGTCATATGGATACGATAGTAAAACATGACGTACGGATAGGGTTAAGTGGTGGCACAGAGTTCCCTACGTCATATGGATACGATAGTAAAACACGACGTACGGATAGGGTTAATACAGTATGGGGGGGGACAGCAAGGAAGGTTGTAAGCTTGTGTAGGTTTTATGCAGGACAGTGTAATGTACCGAGTACAAAAGTACAGGTAGGGGAAAAGTCTGCACAGGGTCATGCAAAAATATTATATCCACAACACAGAAAAAAGGAAAAGGAAATGTGACAACTTCATGATCATTGGGAATACACCAGAAAGTTCAGTTTGGACATGTAAAATTCAGAAATATCCAAATATTGACCATTACACACAGGTAGATGGGGGATGCCATCGGCAAGTCCTATTTTAAAATATTTTTTGTGTTTCTTCTCCTCCAAAATTTCCGTCTTTCGTGCTTTTTTTTCTAAATCCACTACTGCACTGCCGTGATTTATGTCTTCCCAGACATTCAGATAAAAACCACAGGGCTCGTCAAAAGTGAAAGACAAAAGGCCAGAGACAAATATGCCATTCAGTAGAACAACTTCTGAGAGCAGGCTCACACTAAAACGTTCTTGGGTGAGGTGACTTCATGAACCTTTGGTTGTAAAGCACAAAAAGCATGCAGTCGAGCCTGGATATGCATTACATAAATTCAATCCTTAGTATTTGTTATTTTATTATAACTTGTAACCACCAACAAATCATATTAATATGATCAATATGACAAAGCCCACAGAAGAAATCTGCGGTGACAATGTATTCAGGTCACATGATTTGTGGCAGCTCCAACCTGAGTTCAACGTTTTACTCTACACACTCACAGGGATGTCGGTCAACCCTTGGAGGAACGGTACAACACACAACCCCTGATGGCATCCACAAGGCAACGGTTGACTGGCAGAGACTTTTATATATATATATATATAATATATCATGTGTATCGTGTCTTATCAATTTATCTATCTATCTATATATATAATCTATTGTACAGTACACGCAGACCGCTGATCTTGTCGGTTTCCAGCCTGAAAATCAAGACGAAAAAATAGAAAACTTTAAAAAGGAGGAATTGAAAAGTCTGTGTAAACAATATCAATATGATCATAACACATTTGTCTTAGGCATTTTTTAACGAGATTCTATTTATTAAAAAATGTGTGCTGCTCATTTCATATTACTGTCAAAACAACAGAGTTTTGTTTTCCATACTAAATCCAATATTAAGACATTTTGAATTTAGGTAAGCAGTGGTTTGTTGGGGTTGGCCTTTTTTTCCCCCCATGTTCTCTCAAAACAGCTAAAAAATCACTACAGCAATTGTGTTATGATAGTGACAGTACAGTATATGTGAAGTTTTCACTGCAAAAAGCAAAACCGCAGAAAACCGACATCCCTGAAAAATCTTCTCTTCTGATTGCATGTTCCCCAGTTCATTTGATCACCACCCCCAATCATCACCTCCTCCAATCCCCCCACCAATCATCACTTCCTCCAATTCCTCCACTAATCATCACCTCCTCCAATCCATCCACCAATCATCACCTCCTCCAATCCCTCCACTTATCATCGTCTCCTCCAATCCATCAACCAATCATCACCTCCTCCAATCCCTCCTCCACTAATCATCGTCTCCTCCAAGCGTCCAGGGCCTCCACTTACAAACAAACATTTTCCTCCTCCATCTTCTCTCTCACTCAACACGACATGCTAGAACATTCTAGGCCCTCACAGTTTGTGCCGGCCTCTGGCGTGACCGCGCCGCTTCCTGCTCACTGGCCGACAGAGCCTGGGCTAGGAGGAAATCCTCACGTTCTTGCTGGCTCATCCTGAAGGGAAGGAACGAGTGGGGGGGGGGGGTGAAGAAACTCATAGTCATTTTGGGTGATATATCGATGGCTGAGCGCAAGAAGTGACTATATATATCCACATTTGGTCGAAATGGAGTTTTATCGATATGGGTAGTGGTGGTATTAAGCCGCTCTTTTGTCTCTGTATATATCTAAGCTGTAGCTTCATTCGGAATCGAGTTATTAACGTTTCTTTTTTTCTATTATGTTACAGAAATTTGAACATGTCAAAATTTCAAACTCGTTTTTCTCAAAACTGTCAAAAGTGGATATAGTCACTTCTTGCACTCAGCCGTCAACTGAGGAATATATAAACATAATGACAACGATATATACTAGAAAAAGTAGTAATGCTAGATGGCAAAATAGTATGACCTATGAATGGAATCCATCCTGAATGAGAAAGAGAGAGATACATTGAAAGGGGGAAAGAGGGGGGGAAGAGGAGGCGAAAGAGACTGGGGGGAGGGGGTGGGAGAGAGAGAGAGAGAGACAAACAGAAAGAGACAAAGAGAAAGAGACCATGATGCATACTTGTACTACAAAGATTGGAACCATGATAACAAAGTCAGTATCAAGGTAAAAAGGATTCATCAGAGTTGCTGGTGTGAAAAAAAAAGTTTACGAGTAAGCCTAAAACACTCTTTGAACGTTTCAATTACTCTTTATACCACAAATAATGTCGGTGAGTAGCAAAATAAAAAAGTTACATCTCTTTAAGCGCACAACACTTTTTATTTGGTTTTGATTGTTCTTTTCATTATACACCAGAGAGTACACAATACAACACAGAGACAAAAAAAGATACTCTATAATCCTGCAATGGTGCTCTGTATAATCAATATGTGTCACCACGCAGAGGAATCAGGCGCTCATCAAATTTTGGGCGTATGGAGATATTGGTATCATATTCAAGTCTGTTCACATGCCTCACATTTGATGAACAAAGCACCTTTCTATCTTGAATAGAAGTCAGGAAATATGCAATTGAAGGAGGTGGGGGTCACCTGGTGTCCGACGGAAAATTAGCGAGAAAATGGCCACGAAAGATAAGTCATTTCCAAAGTTTTAGTGTCCCTGAAACTGCAAATATTTACTTTTTTTTTGTGCCCTTCGTCAATGTTTTTCAGTTAAATGCATGCAGGAATATGATCTTAAAATGGATATGAAAGGAGTTGAACCAAAAATAAAAAATTGGATAAAAATTACCCAATAGATGAAATGATGTCCGTTTTCGATTTCATTATTTTGACGAACGCCTGATTTCACCATGTTGCTACACATATTTTTTTTTAAAAACCAAACAAAAAACATTATGACACAGAACTCGCTGTAAACACTTACCCTTCGGGCAAAGCATCAGAGCTGCCTCCCAAGGACTGTTGTAAGGCACGGGCCAGGGCTTCATCTTCTGTCTGCAGAAACAAAAGTCAAGGATATTGTAAGACATCTCAGACAACATCATTTACCAAGCTGTCATCATACAGGGAAACCAGATGGCTTTTTTAGTTTCTTTTAGTAAAAGATAGTTAACGGCACTTGCAACACAATAAGGTCATAAAAGTGCTGAAGATTACTGGTGTAGAAAGAGAGAAACAATTACAAAATGAGAAACAGGAAAGATAAGGACAATAGATGGGGAAATATACGTGACTGGCACTGTAAGGGTGAACAACTGATGGATTATGCGAAAAAAAAACATGATAATACAGAGGTGGGGTGGAGGGGGGGGGAGGAGGTGGTTGCGCCCAACCAATGGAGAGGACTTACTTAAATTCATATACCCCGGTATAGCCAAGTGCCCATTTATTACAATTCACAAAAGTCCGGATGTTTTTTCATTTTTATTGAGTAAAGCCAATCTGGAGTTTTGGTAAACTGCGGGGGGGAAATGCTCCCACACAGAAACAGTCAAAACTCTCTAATAAAAAAAGCGAAGAGTAAGTCGGAATCATCAAGTAGTTGACGTTATTTGAATACAAAAAGGTCAAAGTATATGTGGCACAACATGGTGGAATCAGGCACTCGTCAATTTTTGGGCATGTCGAGTTATTGATATCACCTGAATGCTTATTTATTTGCCTTGCTTTCAATGAAAAAAATATCCAACGAGCTTGAATAGAAGTCGAGATACTTGCGATTGAAGAAGGTGGGGTAGCTTGGTTTCAGTGGTTAAATTAATGAGGAAATGGTTGCCAAACTTTGGTCACTTCAGTAGCTTAAGAGTCCTTGAAAACTGAAAATTACAGATTGTGTGCCTTTAAACAAGGGTTTTCAGTAATATTCAACAGGAAATGTGTTTTCAAAAAAAGAAAATTTCGATAAAAATTGCCAAACTCCTTGAAAAATGCCTTTTTCTCTTACTTCATTATTTTGACGAGCGCCTGATTTCACCACGATGCCTCACATATCTTTCTTGTGCTTTAACTACAAGTAATCCCAAACAAAACAAATACCTTCCTTATGAATAAAATTATGCGGTAAGTAAAAAAAGACAACCCGCCCCGAGCAACTTAAAACTTGAGTTAGTTCTTTACAAAGATGAAACAATAAAACATGAAGGGGGAAAATGAAGGAAGGGAGACAACTTACTAGTGTTCCTTGTAAGGATGAAAGAGCTGCAGGGTTGTTTGCCCTTGGAACAGAGCTGCTGAAACAAAGTACAGTAAGAAATCTGTCATGAATCACATGTTGCTGTTGTTGTTATTGTTATTGTTGCTGTTGTTGTTGTTGTTGTTGTTGTTGGGAGTTTCAACAAAGAGAAGCATTTTGATAGAATCAACAGAAGGAAACAAACAGTACATGAAGACAGAAACACTGATAATATAGAAAAAGGGACAAAACAGACACAAAAAGACACAAAAAGACAGAAGACGGAGAAGCATGGCGATAAAATCAAAGAATATTTGTGAGGCAGCGTGATGGAATCAGGCTCTCGTCAATTTTTGGGCATGTCGAGTTATTGGTGTCATCCTAAAGCTTGTTCACTTGTCTTCATTTGGATTTTAAAAATATCCAGTTATCTTGAATGCAAGTCGAGATATTTGTGAATGAAGGAGGTGGGGGTCACCTATTTTCAGAGGTAAAATTAGTGAGAAAATGACCACCAAAGATTAGTTGTTTCCTTAGCTAAAGAGTCCGTGGAAACTAAAAATTTACATTTTTTTGTTCCTTTAATCAACGTTTTTCAGAAAAATCCACACATAAATGAGTTCTTTAGCAGGTCTAAAAGGTGTTGAGCCAAAAAAAAAAAATTTGATAAAAATTCACAAACCTGCGGAAAAAATGCAAGTTTCTTCACTTTGATTATTTTGACGAGAGCCTGATTCCACCACGCTTCCTCACATATAGAAAAAGGGACAAAACAGACACATAAAGACACAAAAAGACAGAAGACGGAGAAGCATGGCAATAAAATCAAAGAACATTTATGACAAAATAATCTTTTACTGCTCAATCCACATAGTTTACGCTAAACTTTTAAGGTAGTTATGCTTATAAGTACCACGTAAATACCTGTATAAGAAACAAATGGAAAAGAATTTCGTACTTACTTGGAATTTCGATTGCTTGGGTGCCCTGATGATGATGATGATGATGATGATAAATTTTGGGATTTCTTGGAAGACGTCGCCTGCTGAGCCCGGAGCAATGCTGCAGCACTGGGAGACAAAAATTATTTTTTATTTAAATATACATACAAATTTTCTCAAAGTTTTCATCAGCAAGAAAAACGGCTGACAAAACGCCTTTTTCTTATTTACAGCAGTTTCGAGATGAAAAGGTCTTTTGTCAGCGTCACCAATTAAAAAAGGTGTTCTTACGAAAATTGAATTCTAATTTATTTAAAAAACTAGTCAAAGTTTCACTTTGTTTTGTTTTTTTACACAAGTAGGGTAACTGATCAGGCTATTGAGATGGCAAATGAAAAAATTGGCGCCAAAAATAAAAAAAGGCATTTATTCAGCTTAGGTCAGAGTATTTCTCTACCTTTATCCCCAAAAACACCCACAATTTGAGCACGAATTATACTATAACAGTGCTTTGTAAAAACCCAAGTTCATAGTGTAATATTGTAACGATAACAACAGATAAACAAATGTATCTATTCTAAAATTCTGTGACCAGATAACGAATTGCATCCTACAGGAGTATCCTTCTCCCTGTATATGATTGAATATTCTTCTCCCTATATATGATTGAAGATGATCTTCAATCATATACAGGGAGAAGGATACTCCTGTTTTTCTTCAGCGAAGCGTTTGATTCTTATTTTCATTTATTGCTTTTCATACTGAAAGGTGGTGTCAGAAGCCAAAGCGAAACGAAATTTCCCCTTACTACACCACTAAGGTCAGAAAAGGTTGCAAGCTCAAAAACAGCAAACAATTCAGAACCTTATGTTATATGAAGTAAAAAAAACCACAACAACAACAACAAAATCTGACAAGAGCTTCATCTAAATTCATCTGAAAAAAAAAAAAAAAAGAGGAGTTTACATGATTTCGAAGCATCATTTCCAAGTACATACCCAGCATTACTGACAGCCCGGCCAGAGTTCTGGTATCCCTTACAGTTGTGGTCCAGCTCGTGTCGGTGTCGGAGGCAGAAGTTGAGTCGACACGTCTCGCACTTCACGGGGACCAGCTGGACACATCACAGAAAAAGAAACCAAAAAAACAAATTAGTCTGTGTATAATTTTCTTCTTTTACTATAATGCATGGAAGTCGATCAGAATTGACCACTGAAAGGGTTAAATTTTATTCCCTTTCCAATAGTTCATGACAAACTGAATAACAGAAGGCCTGGGAGGGGGGGGGACCATATATGTAAAAGAAATTATCAATACAATGTTAAAGAAATTAACAGTTTAATAACATATGAGGGGGGAGGGGGTGTCAGAAAAATCAAAGTACAAAAAAAAGAAAAAAAATATTCTAAAAAATTCCTTTTTAATTAAAAAAGGAGCTAAGAGTATAACAGATCTACTTTGTTAGTAAATAAACCGTACCTCTTTCTGCTTGCATCCTTTCTTGGAGCATCTGTTTGTGTACACCTTAAGAGAGAAAAAAAAACACTTATACTTTTATAAAAATGTTTTGGTTTTAGATTTAGTAAGAGTTTTACGGCACTTGAAACACAATTCAATGAGATCATAAAAGTAACAAAGATTAGGTGTTACAAGGGAGTAACAAACAAAAAAGGAGGAGAGATCAGAACGATAGATGTTTGATAGGAAAAAAGGAGCAAACCACACTGGAGCACCCGCCAACCACCGACATGAAAAATGTTTTATCAATAGCACAAAGCACAAGTGGGAAGGACCAACACAATCCATGGTTTTTTAAGTGTCGGGGAAAAGTAAGACAGACAAACAGAAACAACAAAGGGGAAAAAGAAAAAGAAGTGCGAGTTATCAGAGGCATTCTCCAACCACCCGCCAACCAGAATAAACTTTAGAAATAAACAACCACAGAAATCTCCAAATACATAACAGGTTCAGTAAAATAGGGTGGTTGTTTTGTTTTTTTTTCTTGTTTTTTTCTGAGAGGGTTGATGAAAAGACTTAACACTTTGTCATCATATTTTGGGGAATATCCAAAGAAACTGGGTGGTAAACATCGCCAATCGGCGAGATGAGGTGGAAAAGTGTTAATCTAAAATAAAGAACAGAACTAAACATTTCCTTCAGACAATGCTGGGAGCATTAAATAATCTCTTCTCACCTTTCTCCTCTCCTTTGCCGGATCCGACTGACAATCAGACTCAATGTGTCTCCCCACCACCACATCTGGGAGCTCTCCTTTCCTCAGAGGGATAGGCAAGTTACACAGAGGGCACACGGGGATCTGGTTATCCTGGAAAAAATTAACGTTTTTGGTTTGTGAACTAAAGAAAGTCACATGGACATTAAATGACTTTCAACAATCAGAATAATATGTGCTTTTTGATAGTACCTCAACAAAAAAATAAGTAGTGAACCACGATCGCAGATGTGTTTCAGGAAGAAGAAGCGCAGAAAAACATTGGATAGTGACCATATAAAACATCTTTAAAAAGAGGCATCTGTGGAAACTTTTAATGATATTGGACAAATGATAAAAAGTTCAAGATGTAAGGTAGAAAGTTTATAAAGACACAGATAGTTTTAAAGGTCCTCATTTGAAAGATGGTCTATCCAAAGACAAACTTCATATAAACAATACATGTATGACTGTTTATAACATAAAAATGCTTAGGTCTAGTAGCCTGTGTCCTGTCAGATGTACAGAAGTTTCAGTTGAGACCTTCTCTTCTTTCATATCTCTCTTTAACAATTGCTTTAAAAAAAAACCCAAAGAACATACATGAGATGGGAAAAAATTGCAACACTTTTAACATCAAAGGCTTACCTTCTTGTAAGAATCAGGACATTTGTGGGAAGTGTACATAATGTGATCTCGACTGAAAAATACAAGATAGGAACAAAATTAATTCACAATATGTCAATAACATATATAAAACTTCATTTCACAAGAATTTTTTTTTCAATTCAGAATAATATCACAGGTAGTTTTGGTTTTAGTAAGTGTTTTACGGCACTTGCAACACAAAAAAGTCATATAAGTGCCGAAGATTAGAGGTGTTACGGGGAGATAAAGACGATAAAAGTATGATAGGAAAGAAAAAGCAAACACAACCAGAGCACCCGCCAACCACCCACTATCATAGGTAGGCCTACATATAAAACTATTCTTCACAAAGCAAAAACCTAACACTCTAAATTCTACATTATATGACATGATATGGATCCTGTCAAAGAGTGCCTTACAGACAATCAAAAATTGCTATTAGATAAAAACAGTCAGTTTCAAGATAAGACGCAGCCAAAAGACGTACTACCAGCAAAAAACAATAAACGTGGTAAAATTAGTAATTATAACATGACATTAAAATTTACCAATATTTGATCTACAAATGTAACAACTAATAAAAAACTGTTTTAAAATAACTTCCATCATCATCTATCAGAATAATTCAAGTTTAATTTATATAATTAAATAGAGCTTAATTTATATAAAATAAGCCATGAATGAAGGCAGCACAAAATCAGAATAAAACACTATAATCTCTTTGTTATTTCTTGCTGCTAATAGTTAACATTGTGAAAAATTACCAGAAGATCTTGGAACAGGCATCACACTTCATTGGCAAGAAATCTGCAGGCAAAACAAAAGTTAAAGAAATGAAAATGCATCCAAAAATGTAACAACATTGCTATTATTATTATACTGTGACATTAACACCTGCAAATCATAAAAATGAGAAAACCTAGTCTCTCACCAGAGCCGCTTTCAGTTATAACATGCAAATATTAAGAATGTAGTCAATTTAGAAAATAAAAATTACGTGTTTCCAGACTTGAATCCCCTTGGCGACATTCTAATTATAAATTTTAGTTGAAAGGAGCTTTAATAACTCTCCACCCACGATGTGGCTAGGATCTGTCAGAGATAAGTGTCAAGTCAGAGCCCATCACCTCTTAAATAATCCCTGCTTTGAAAGAGTCTGTTTAAAAAATAAGCTAATACCATGCTTCCTTTGAATCTGTTTGTAAGTAGTACCGGTGGTGTTCTGTTGTTTCTATTTTTATGAAAAATGAAGTTGGTGGGGAATAAGTGTTGACAGTTCAAAAATGAAACATGATGATCATTATACGGTCAAAAGAGTGTGCGGGACAAATCAAACATTTTCAGTACATGAAGCTACCACGAGCACCAAGCACACCTCTGAGATTGGCCCAAATATATGACGTATTTCCACCACCTATTTTTGTCGTCTTCCGGGGCTTCCCTCGCCAATTGACTTGATCTAACCGTGGTGGGCTCGCTTTGCCGCTTAGCGGTAGCGTGCGATGGGCTACGTTACAGGTTTCATCACCGACTACTTAGGCTGTGTGTGCGCGTGCGTGTGTGTGCGCTTGTGAGTGTGCGTGTCTGTGTGCACACTTGTGTGTGTGTGTGCGTGTGTGTGTGTGTGTGTGTGTGTGCGTATGTGTGTGTGTGTACAATTTTCAGGAGAAGGTTAATTTATATATGGTATGGTACGAGACTTGCTGAGATTGTTTATGAAAAGATACACAAATTAATAAGAAAAAAAACAAACACAGCGAAATCTAGTAAACAGTTACTGGTGTGAGGGAAACCCAAGAGTCTTGGGGAAAACCCCAGAAGATGACAATAATAGATGGCGGAAATACAACATCTATATTTGGGCCAATCACAGAGGTGTGCTAGGTGCTCACTGTGACTGTAACTTCATGATGTATTTTCAGTTGGTAGGAAATTTTTAATTTTTGCCCGGGTGGCGGCCGAAGTGGCATGTCTGTAAACACAACAGGCAGTCGAGAACAAGTAGCAGTAGTAGTAATGGTAGGGGCCTCCAAAACAAAGCGGGTACACTTGTACAAAGCCAATACGGGGTGCCGATCAGTATGATTGATTCAGTTCGATTTACAGTTTGTTGGCTGGGCTAGCCAGAGATTGAGAGCGAAAAGCGAACATCATGGCACAAAAAAGCGATCATCCGTCTCGCAGCTCAAAAACAGTAGGCGTGAATCAGACGATCGGTTGACGTTCGGATCAGTTTGCCAATCTCCCAATGGCATGGGCATGGGCACTGACTGGGTTAGCAATCACACTTGTCACTTGGCAAGTGGTGACTTTGGGCGGGCCTTCTAATTTGAAGGCCTCTCTAAATACAGCCCTGGCCTGGAGTCGGAGTCCTGATCTAGGGATCTAGATCTAGATCTAGATCTAAATCTAGATCTAGGATTAATTGAAAACAGAATGAAAATTAGAAGAGGCGAATTAGTAGTAGGAATCAGTTGGAGTAACAGACCAGAATTTACAGAGTCAGAGACTCTTGACTCTAGACTCTAGTCTGGAAACTGGGCGGCCTACTCACCAAGTTGCTTGCAAGTCGATTCGTTGCAGTGTTGACCAAGATGGGGAAACTCCATTTTTGCTGCTGACCCACCTTATAGATCTAGATAGTAAACCAGGGACCAAACGAAGCGCCCTCGTGAGAAGGAATAAAATATTCAAGGCACAAATTGACTTTCTTGAGAACAGCCTTCCTCTAACAGTGACTGAAACCAATATGATGTAAACAAGACGAGGAAGTGCTGTTATGATGATGATGATGGTGAATTGTGAGACGTGACATATAAAAAGTACTATCGGAAAAACATTTTTAAAACAAATACCAAACCTTTAATTTTTCAGAATTCATGTTTCAAAATATTTTGTATAATGTTATCAAATGCTGTTAATGTATATAATAAATATTATAGAACTTTCAGAATAGCAATAGTTTGCTTTTTAAACTATATTTTGGTATAATTACTCTGGTTGTATATTCGTAGAGTAGTTTTTTAAATACCCAAGTTCTAAAAATAGATTATGCAAGTCACGGAAACCCCTTTCTAATTTTAGAAATACTTTTCTAGGCCTCTCTGGAAAACACCCTTTGAAGAGTCATGTGATCTCAATTTTGTTTAGTCATAGACCTGCGGAAAGTGACAGTGTTAAATTGACAGTACAAGCCCGCAGTGCTCACATTTCCGGATAAACATTTTTGAACTTACAAAAATAGTAGCAACCTAATATAAAAGAAAAACGATCAGTTCTGAATTGCAGACTAAAGATTGCCATGCACATATTAGGCTACAGTGGAATAAATGGTCTAAGACAGACACCCGTTGCCGTTGTCGATGAGAAAAAAAATGCTGTTGTTAGAAACAGCTACGTGGATGCTCTGGGCCTTGGGCAATGTTTTAAAAATAGGCTTTTTATCTTTTTTTTTTTTTTTAGAAACAAAACCTGCAAAGCAGGGGGTATGTGTTGTTAAAAATGGTCGTTTGTACAGTAAGTTATGATGTCTTTGTCAGGTACTAGCCGTTAGAGCAGGGCTTTTTATTTTTCCCAACAATATCAGGTTACTTTTAAATGTATAATATGTAGTCTACATTATTGATTTCGTAAAACTTACTAAAAACAACACATTGCCTTATCCTTCGCATAGCGCTGTTAAAGAAGCTATTTGCCCTGATTAAAGTCTGGACATCTCCACAACGTACGGCCTAGCCAAGAGAAGACGCAAATTATTATATATTTTTAGATAAATAAATAAAAATGGCATAAGATTTACATTGACTTACTATGAGGCATGGATCCGATATGGAAAATAGTCTGTATATCGTGGCAACACCGCCAGAGGCAATGATTATAATAAGACTCTGGCCAGACGGATACATTGTTGGCCAGACGGATACATTGTTGGCCTACACGGTACCCCCCCCTCTTTTTTTTAAAACCCCACCCTTCTGAAAGAAAAAGGATAAATAATAACACCCCCACCAGTTCCGACATCTATTGATGTGTTGCAGTTATGTCGAGTAGCCCGCAGGAGAGTTCAACTCCCGGGTAGGGCGAATTTTTATCGACGAATATCTCGGTCTTCTGCTTGGACGTTGTAGCTGTAGCCTATCCCTCTCAGCCCGGATTGGCCCTGACAGGCAGGGTCGGAAGCCCACCTCTTAAAATATGATCTAAATTGTGTCGATAAGGGCGTAAAAACATCCAAGAAGCAGAGACACTATGCTGAGGTTAGAACATAAGACTGCTGATTCGGTTCTTGTTCTCTGAGCGGTTTGTACCACCGCCTTTGGTAGAGCAGGCTACCGGTTATGCGCTACGCTGTTGCAAGAATTGGGGACTAGATCCGTTCGATTCCCGAATGAGGAGATTTTGTTTTTCAAGACCTAGCAAAGATACTACACCCTACCGTAGGCTGTACTATCTTTGGACCTAGGTCTTTCTGCTGGCATGTTATATCCCTCTTATCCCGGATTGGCCCTGACAGGCAGAGTTAGAGGCCTGCCTCCAGAATGATTTATAATTATTATTGTGGTGATGAATGGGTCAAAAACACCACCAACGCTAGTAGTGAGATTACTAAAACTAAAAACTGAATACCTCGGTATCGTTCCTCAAAACAAAGGACATAAAATAAGAAAAACATGATTTTTTTCGTTGCTTTTCAAAATAATCATTTTATTATGATTAGTTATATAATATAATACTGTATGATTTTTTATCGGGTAGGTAAGTTGGTAGGTAATTTATTCAGTGTTAAAGGTATCACTAGCCCACATCACATAAAAAGCATGGCATGCATTTTACGGAAGAGACTCCAGTGAAATAACATAAAGCATACGTTTCATGTCATGTATCAGTATATAAACACTTTTAAAACGTTTTATATTGTCAAACAAAGGTTCCGTAATAAAAATGTTATTTAATAGTAAACGTTATACATAATAATAAATAATAATATAGGGCCTACCTTTTTTTCGTAGGTGAAACATTGTAGATTTTTAACACTGGGTTGGGTTAGGAAAAGGGGGGGG